GCTTGGTGTAGTTGACGTGAGGCTGCACGGCCCTGCAGATCGATCGTGCGTTGCAGTTGGCTTCTTGGGAGATGCATCCGGATCTTCAACCGATGGGCTTGTCAGCTCATGTTGACACGCGTGCGGTGGCCGGCGACAGCCGTTGCATTCGGACATGGATCGCAGCAATCGGGCAACCAGATGGATTCGGCGAGTGGTGGCCGCGTGTCGCTCGTTGCCGCGAAGAAAACAGGGCCTGCATGTAGCGTGCGGCGCAGCCGCCGTACCCGTACGTGTGGCCCGTAGACCACTATCCTGATCCGAACGGCGCCATGGGACAGATCGGCATAGGGCACCCGTCGAAGCACACATCTGGATCCGCGATGAAGTCAGTGGCGCCGCACGACGCCACCAATCCTGATCTACCAGATCTTCCTCGATGCAGAACCACGTCGCCATACGTCGGGAGTATTACGGCAAAATGGGACATCGAATCGCCGTGGTTGATGTTGGTCTTGACATCCCATATTGTTCGTCATGGAATCAGCACACACATCTCTTACCTAAGCGTGCCATTATCGACAAAATACGTCCGACAATCTACCGAGGGATATGCCCATGGTAATAGATGAATCGGTGGAGGTGCGCGTGATGGAGCTAGATGATGACACAGAACGCGAGAGACGTTCGGGCCATCAGCTTGACGTAATACCCTACGTCATGTGTCTTTGTGAATTATATTGCGTATGATCAGATGCCTTAGGCTAAGCCTAAAATTGTACGTACGGGATGTCCACTAGGGGACCCCTGCCCCTCCTTATATGCTCTAGAGGGGTAGAGTTATAAGGAAATTATCATATTTGGTATTATACAATATCTAATAAATCACATTTTCTTGTAACTTTGCGGTGCATGCCGATCAGTGTCGTGCGCCGCACGCCTTGATCTTGTGGGTTGGGCCACCTCTGATGGTGCGGCCTATGTCTTGTCCTGTGGGTACCAGGGGTGATACCGCCTTCGGATACCGGGGGTATATCCCCCACAGCTAGTCCCCGAGCGCCTTGTATCCTTTGAGCAATGCCGTCTTGAGCTTATCCGAGCTGTCCAACTTGTTGCCGATCACCAGAGACAGGTTTTCGACCAGTTTAACTAGGAGCCGAGCTGTTGAAACAAGCTTCCGAGCTGTTAACCAGGCGTCCGAGCAGTTGAAAACGACGTTCGAGCAGTTGAAGCAGATGTCCGAGCAGTTCAACTGGGAGCTAGGCTCGTACTTACTCGAGTAAATTTTGCCAGAAGGATGTAAGGGGCTCAACATAAAAATTAAAAATTCTCCACCTTAGGCGAAGTGTAGCCACTTAGACTCCTTAGTCAATTAAGGAGGGTAAATCAGAAAAAGCACTACATTCACTGCTAGGTGAAGTATAGCCACTTAGTCCCCGAGCCTGCTGGAAGATGAAAAAATAAATCTTGTAGCAGGGTCAAAGAATTTTAATGAAAGCTTGCCGACGTCATCTGTCGTGTACTTATCAAGACCCTGAACGTGCTGTCCAAGATCAACACCCTGATCCGAACAGCATGGAGCAACTTAATAGCACACCGATGAGATGTAGCAAAACTCAACCACCAAAGGATTTCCTAGTACGCTTGCACGAAGAATCCGAACACCGAGGAGTTCCCAGACCCCGGAGGCAACCTTGAGAGTACCACAAGTACTCTGGCTCTGAGGTACGTATTGTACAGTAGGATATCCGCCTTCTCATGAAGGGTTCGGAGGGGTCCGCCTACAGAATCTCCCCTAAAGGAGAAGCTGTCAGGTTGCCTAAATCAATCAAACGACTCGAATCACCATCGGGTGACAAAAACAAAGAATAGCGATTCTTATGCAGGTTACTCCAACCTCGTCGCAAACATCAGGATCCGAACCCCGCACGGACACACCCGATGGGTGTAGCCCCCGTCTTGGAGGCCCCGGGGTCGTGGGGGTGGGGCGTCCCGGGTAAGGGAAAGAAGCTACTCAACGGCCTTCTCACCGCCCTCCAAACTCTAAAGCAGAGGGGCGTGAAGGGGGCGGGGATCATCGGGCCTATAATGCGAGGAGGGTTGCGCCGCTGATGGCGCGCTCCCCTGTATCAGATGGTGCCCGAAGCGTCGTTCGAAGGGACGGTGCTCGTTGACGAGGCGCTTCCTTACTCTGAAGTGGCGCGGCGCGTCAAGGAGGCGATGGAGCCCACGAAGGACTCCCGTGGCGCCGTCCTTGACTTTATGTATCCGGTGCCGGGACATCCCCAATGCGGCCGAAACCGAGGTTTGTTGATTTCGTAAGTCTTTTTTCCCTTCGCTTCTTTTCACTTGAAATTTCCAATCCCCTGATGTTAACCTCGGGACGGCGGAACCACGAAAGGAATTCGAACACGGAGGAGTTCCCGGACCCCGGAGGCAACCTTGAGAGTACCACAAGTACTCTGGCTCTGAGGTACGTGCTGTACAGTAGGATAGAAAGATGCTTGCAATGAAACCTGCCCTGCCCAGCTTGTACGGAGTACTGCTCTACCACAGGTCCGGAGCGTTGCGTGAAACTGTCATGCTAGAGCCTGAGCAACGCTGCCGCCAAGATTTCAGAGCAGGGGATTGATGCGCATGAGGACACCGGGACGCCACCAAGGAGGGGATGGGAGTCCTCCGATCGATGCACTGCGCAAGTGCAGTGGTACAGCGTGCCTGTCCTTCGGCTAGCAGCGTGATGGCCGGTCCATACTGCTGCGCGACACTTGGAGTGTGGGTGTGGCAGGCAAAAAGTTGTGTCCTGTTTGGTTTGAGGACTCCACAGTCCACAGTCCACACTGGCACACCAGGACCAGGGCCATGCCATGCTACGAAAGAAGCAAACAAGCGTAGTACTGTGATCGACGGACCGGCTAACCATCGGCGTTGTTGTCCTCGCGTGGGGGCCGGCCAGATCCACGATCGTCGATCGACGACCCAGAGAGACAAATGACCCGGTCCGATCGCCGGAGACGCGGAGGGTGCTACATCACGAACCTGCCCTTGTGTGCTTGACCATTATGTGCCGACGTGACAGAGGAACCAAGTAGAGTGCCTGTGACCCCGTGTAAACAATGGCCCTGTTTAGATACTCTAACTAAGTTAGAGGTTAGAGTTACTTTCTAGCTCATGAATAACCCTAAACTAGCTCTAGATAAATAGATGTCTGGAAGCAAGGGATAGATTGACAATAAATATACTTTCCCAATCATTTGGCTCCTTCCCAGCCGGATTTGGTGTGGCCGGCTGTTGTGTGCCCTCCTCCCGCTCACAAATGACACAAACAAATCATCTTTACAAATCATGTATCCATAACACGATAAATTTTAATTTGTCCATACAAATGAGATGTCTCACTCAAACATATCCTCAATCAAGCTAAAAAATTACACTCCATTAAACAAAGTATCAGCTAACTTATCACGGAAGGCATTCATGTTGATATCTTCAACAAAAGGTTCATCCTCTGGCCATGCTGATGCAGAAGAACTAGGCATTGGGTTATAATTTTCATCCGCATCACAGGCATCAAATTCTCTATCCGCAATTATGCTCTCTAGAATAAAATTATGAAGAGCCATACAAGCAACAATAATTCTAGTTTGCTTGTCCTCTGGAAATCTTGGCATGTTCAACAAAATCCTAAATTTCATCTTCAACACTCCAAAAGATCGCTCTATGACATTCCTAACTTTGGCATGTGCATGGTTGAAGGTTTCTTTCATACCTTGTGGCAGCGGGCCGTTTTGCCATTGCTCCACATGGTACCTTGTACATCTGTATGGTGAAAGGTAGCCCAGCCGGTTTGGGTACCCCGCATCAACCACATAATACTTCCCTACATATTTTGAAAGGCACACAATGAGACTTAGATGAACAAGTGTAATTGGATTAAAATTGTTGCAAGACAGTTCAAGTAGCATACCTGGTGGTGGATGTGGAAATTTGTGATGATGAGTAGTTATGACATCTTTGAAAACTCTCATGTCATGTGCTGAACCAGGCCATCCCGACAACACAAAGGTAAATCTCATGTCGAAATCACAATCAGCAAGCACATTCTGACTGGTTTCATTATGCCTGTTCAAGTATGGAACCCTCTTACTCTTATCCACCACAACCTTCACATGTGTCCCATCTATAGCTCCTATGCAGTCGTTGAAGTGTGGCCAGAATGCAGGATTTTCTAAGTTTGGGTGCACCTATAAAAATGCTGGGTCCTTGGGTACAATTATGTCATGTGCTAACCTAAGGAGGCATGTCAAAACTCTGTTAAATGTTCTGCTTACTGTCTCCATAGACCTCCTAAAACGGTTCTCAGCCTGTCTAACTGAGTGTGGTGAACCAACAACCCATAAAAACACAGCAAGAGCCTCTACAGATGTCATTTTTGTACTGGACTTCAACCCATATGAATGGACCAAAGTATTATGTAGCCTGTTAAATAAAGGTCTCTCAACCCTAAACATATTGTAGCATTGGGTATCTCGAGCTAGTGTCTCCTGCACCCAATCCAAACCAGAGTCTCCAGTGACCCTCCTAGGTAGTTTGACAAAGTAGTTATCAGAGTACATACCCAAGCTAGGAACCAACTGCAAGATCAAATTCTGGGCCTCCACCAAATTATTGCAGCACATGGATATAATCTCATCCTCACTTGTGCTGCCTCCATCATCTTCTTCCTCAATCATGGGGCCCTGATCTTCTTCCTGCTTCAACACATGTAACAAATTGTCAACACATAGCCTAAAACTTAAAGCAGTGTAAGCAAATGAAATTAATTCAACAAATTAATACAGCCCATAGATAAATAGGTTCAACACATAGCATTAAGTCAACACATCACACAGATAATAGTTCAAGACCTCACACACAGATGATAGGTTCAACACACATAATAGTTCAACACCTTACACACAGATAATAGTTCAACACATAGATAAAAGATCAACATCTTAACACACACATTTCTTGAAGAACTACTCAACACCTCCTAAGCTCAGATTGTTGTCCCTGCACCATTTCTTGAAGTAACCCAACCTAAGCTGAGGAGTTAATTTGCCACAGAAGAACTGCCTTTGGTACTCTGCTTCGAACATCTTGGACATAGCATAGACAGAGTCAACGGTTTCCTCAACGCCACACTCAAATGCCAGCTCCTGACACCTCTCGACAGAACATGCTGCCTTGTCACTTGCACGTTTCTGTATTTGAGTAGTGTTGACTTTGACAGAGTCTTTGAAGGTACTGGCTATATCCTTCACAATCTTCACCATTGGGCTCTTGCTCTTCTTCACTGGACTGGTCAAAGTGCTTGAATTGCTGCTTAATGACCTCTTTCCCCTCTGACTCCTCTGGCTGCTTCTACTTGTAGGTGTTGTTTGAAACTCCTCCTCTTCCTCTTCTGCCCCTACATCTTGCTCCTGATTCTGACCATAATCATCTCTAGGCACAAAGGCTGTGCTTCCATCGACAGTGAACCCTCTGAATAGTTCATCAAGCAACTCCTCATTTCCTGGAGGACCCCACTGCAGCCTCTTTAGGTATTGTTTTTTCTACATCATAGGTTTACATCACAAGGTGATCAGAAACTAGTTAAGGTGAGCACACTACACAATTTGCTGGCTGTCGGGAACCTAATACCGGGTACCCAAGGAGATGGAACCAATAACCATCGAACGTTAAAAACTCCCGAAAGGACAAAGAACACCGCTGCGCTTCTTGCCCGAACGACGGGAGTTTTGGTTCCGCCTCGCCCGATGCCCGTCGCCAGCTCCGCCCCTCCCCGACGGCTGGGGGACGGCTCCACCTCGCCCGAGGGCTGAGGGCTGAGGGCTAGACTCCGCCTTGCCCAAAGCCTCGCCCAAGGCCCGTCGGCCAGCTCCGCCTCCCCCGATGGCTGGGGGACGGCTCCGCCTCGCCGAGGGCTGAGGGCTGAGGGCTAAACTCCGCCTCGCTCGAGGCCTCCCCCGACCCCCGAGGGCTGGGCTCCGCCTCGCCGACCCCCGAGGGCTGGGTTCCGCCCCGCCCGATGTCCAAGGATTGGCTCCGCCTCGCCTGACAACTGTACCCCGCTCCCTCATGATGCTAGGCACAGGGTAGGACAAGACGTTCGGGTCAACCACAGCATCAAGGACCATGCCCTGCGCCCTTACAGGAGAGTACCACCAGGGCATGACAGGACAGGCGCTTAGACCCTTCCAGGCGTAGCAGAGCCTGAATAGTATTGCAGGCGCGTGCTCTTCGCCCTACAGTGTTGTAGGCGCCACCTTCAAACCACCAGGCGAAGAACCCAACACGGACATACGACAACCACTACGCTCCAAGGAGAGACTCCCGTCCTCTACAGTGGCAGAACAAGCAGTTACCGCGACATCCGCTCCCTATGGGGTCGGGGTTCAGCAACCCTGTCCGACGCGCCGCCCATAGGGGCGGGATGGGACGCTCCCACTTGCTAAAAGAGACCAGGGCATGGCCTACGAAGATCAGCGAACACACCACTTCTGACACGGTCTGCCATGTTATACAGGGCAGGCACTGGGAAAAAGAAAGACCCGAATCCTTCGAAGGACCTTCTATACCCTTGGTATTTTCCTCTTTCTCCCATCTGTAACCCCTGCTCCCCCTTGGTCTATAAAAGGGAGGGCAGGGCTCCCCACTAGAAAGATCGACTTTCAACGAACAACCCACATATAGACGAGCTCATAGAGCACTTAGTTCCACACACACAGCCAAGCCACCGCCAGGCCCTTGGCATCCTTTCGACCCCTCCATCAGAGACCTGGGACCCGTCCCTCTCTTGACCGTTTGTACCCCCTACTACGAACCGCTTCCAGCGCTAATAACACGAGCAGCAACATACTGGACATGGGGACATTCAGCCCGAACCAGTATAAACCTTGTGTCCTTTAGCGCACCATCCGGGCCTAACGTGCATAATTATAAATTTACTAGCCGGTGCTTGTTCGAAACACCGACACTAGGGAACTCAGACTCATGCATAGCTTTACCTCTGTGTGTGTTGTCTAGAACTCAGACTCTGCATCAATTGTTCCATCTGGTTTCCTCCCCAACCCTGTGTGTGTTTGCAAGTAGCACCAGAATGAGTGGGTGTTCTTGAGTACGCCTATTTGGTTCTTCACCTGTAGACGGGTATACAGCAACCCCCTTCGAGCAAGTAAGCCATCGACAACGGCTTCGTACCCTTCACCACTCATTTGTGCACCATTATATGTTCCTGCTCTACGTTGCTCTATGCACAATTCTAACAAGCAAGCATTATTTGCATCATTCCATTGGGCTCGATTGGCATGGCTCACTGGGGGACCGCCGGAGCTCGCTAACTCCTCCACATCATCGTCCAATTCTTCATCGATGTCGAAGGGAGCGCCGGAGTCGGATGCTTGCCCACGAACGGCACTCCTCGGTGCCCTCGGTGCTCGGGGACGCGGTACACGCTGGCCGCTGCTGCCACGGATCGCCGTGTTCGTGCGCTGGCCGCCGCCGCCACGTAACGCCGTGTTGGTGCGCTGCCGGCCGGGTACTGCGCCGGACGATTTCGTGCGCTGATGAACGTCGCCTGCCCCAGACGACGACCCGCCGGGGAATACGCCACCGTTTCCTCCTCCGCGACCGGCTGTCGCTGCCGACGACCCGCCAAAGTGGAGTTGCCGGGCGTAGGGTGAGGCCGGAGTCGCCCACGCGTCTCCTGCTTCGGCTCGCGGTGGGCGATAGGGAGGGAGGCCGAAGCCCCTGATGTGGCCAGGGAGGAGCTCGTCGACGTTGCCCTAGAGGACGGCTCCGTAGAGCCCAAGCCCCGGGAACACCTCCGCCGCCGGCGCTTGCGAGTTGAGGTCGAGATCCGCGAGGCCAGCGGGAGCGTGGCCAGGGCCGCTTGCCGACGGCTGCGAGCCCCAAGCGTCGAAGCCGTCTCCGTCCATCGATGGGAGGCGGTGGCGCGGCTGGGGAGACGCGGCAGCGCAGATGCCGGGAGGCGGCGACGCGCGTGTGGCGAGATCCGCGGCGGCGCGCGTGTGGGGAACGGGAGGGAGACCAAGTGCGGGTAGGGAACGGGAGGGAGACGAGTGCGGGTGGGGAACGGGAGCGAGATCCCGTGCGAGAGATAAAACACTTTTCCAGTGGGCCCCACCTCAAATAGCCTCAATAAGCATCTCTTGTGGTGGATAGTTTTTTGGGTGGGTTAGATGCAAATAACCCCAATCTAACCCTCATGTTTGGATACTTTAGGGCTATTTGAGCCCCAAATAGCTCCAACTAACTCTAACCCATGGATCCAAACAGGGCCAATGCAATGGCCTACCCCGTCTAGTCGTAAGCACACCGTATAGGTTAATGGCCAGCTGCTGACAAAGTACCTGAGGCATCAAGTGCTCTCTACGGGAATGAACGGGCTGTTGCTGCAGAGACCAAAACCGTTCGTCCATGCACAGAGCACTTCATGCCTGCACCAGCGCATGCCTGATGAACTTCTTTCGGAGTTCCAAAAATCATTGGTCGTATACTCTCAACTGCTATAGTATTTCGGCCTGTTCGCTGGTTGGTATCTGGGCTGATTTGAGCTGGCTGGTGCTGGTTTTTTGTGAGAGAAAAACACTATTGACTGGTGGAATAAGTCTGGCTGAAACCAACAAGCGAACATGGTGAAAAATATAACTCCAAAAACAATTCAAAGTAGTAGCTTTCAACATACTTTTACTGAAAAACCACACTTGCATACATACACCTCTAAACACTTCAAAATCGAACAATTTACCCTCGCGAGGGTTCAAAGGGATTTCCATGATTATTCAGCGTGATGGGACATGTGGATCCCACGTGTTGGATAATGGTACTGTAGCACAGAACCGGAGAACCTTGAAATTGTGGCTTCACCGGCTCCTCATCTTCTCAGTTCATTTTCTACCTCGAAAGTCTTTTGCCGAAGCCCGCGGAAGCCATGCCAAACACAACCTAAATGGGGGTGGGGTGTTGTGCATGTGAGTCACTTGCCGCAGTTGCCTGCTGTGGGGCGCTGTGCCTGGAGGGGAGCGGCGCAGCAGGCATGGAGGGATGCGGGAAGCACGAGGAAATGGTGCGGGTGGGCCCTGCATGTGTGTGCAGCAGGCACGGGTGGGGGTGTTGCAGCAGGTGCGGACGTCCAGACGTGGGGTGGGGTGGGGAGGGTGGGGGTCCTTCCAAATGCTTGGACGCTAGCGCTGTCATTCTTTGTCTGCCTACAAGAGCAATAAAACTACGATCGACTCGTCTTAGAGGGTATAAGTATGTAACATCGACTCGTCTTTTAGAGGCTGTAAGTCGAAGGTAGTGGTCACTGCGATCTCATATTCTCGTTGATGTAATCTGCCGTCAAAGTTAGTGAGAGTCCTTATTAATAAAAACGAAAAGGTACTCGAGTCGTGTTTCCCATAGCGATGAACGACCCTTGGATGATCGACACGTACGTACGCTACAGCTGCTGTCAAAAGAAGAGTGAACTCCATTTGAATTGAAAAAAACACCAAATTCAACCAAATTGAACTATGTTCAAGTTCAATCCCTTCTCAAGCGTCTGTCGTGGACTCGTGGTGAGAGTATCCCAACAATATTTCCGAGCCGCTTTTGATGGTTCTCTTGTGCTGTTGCGCACAGCAGGTCCGTAGTGGTCTTGTTTTTCTAGTTTTGATCGTTCTCTTGTGCACAGGGGATAAACAGTTTTCAGCCACTTGAGTGTTCGGCTGCAGGAAAGCAGTTGTTGCGGCTGCGGCTGCCGCTTTTCCTCACTCTTGTGAATCACTGTAGCAGCAGCAGCAGCTGGCTGCACAGCCGCGCTTTAGTGCAGCCAATGTCAGGTCCTCCGGGTGCCTAAAAGTGCTTTATTAGGATAGGACATATACACAGTGCAAGGTGCTCAAACATGAGTGCTTAAAAGAGTGTTGTGATCTCATTGAGAATATCCATAAATCGGTTTAAAAATTTTGACTTAAAATTTTTGACTCTATTTATTCAGGGACAGAGAGAGAATGTGTAATCACTTTGCTAGCTGGTAGCAAATATAGATGTAAATTTAAGCATCTTGCTTACCTGGCGAGACAAAAAAAAAATGATCTCGATTGTTCATTCGGCTTGCCCTTAGTATAAGCCGATCAATCATTCTTCCTAACAGGAAACAAAGATGTCACTGCGTAACACTTCTAATTGGAAGCCGGATGAAGATAATGCGCTTGGATTACCTCTTGGGATGGGATAACTTGAATATGTTTTATTTAGGAGTATTTCACTTCCCAATTGCATTGATTCTCATTCTTAAACGACTCTCCTGTATTGATCCTTGTTGCCTCTCCTTCCTTTCATGTAAGCTGAGGCACTGGCTCAACCACAGCTACAGCTTATTCTTATAGAACTGGCCTTATATGCAACGTCCATATCAAATGAAACCTATTGTACTCCAGCAATGGAAAAGGACACCCGGCATTTGTTTCATCAATATCAACATTTACACCGGAGTTGCCGTTCCAGCTCCATTGTACTTGACTATTTCTGGATAAAGCTGAAACCTCTATCGCCATGCAGAAGCAAAACACCAAATACCACCGCCAATCATGCACAAGCAACAATAGCAGCAAGGGTAATAGAACAGCCGATCTTAATGTAAAGAGATAGCGTCAGGCTAGCAAAAGTTTAAGTGTCACATAGGTCGATGACGCACACACATTCATCGACAAAACAAGCCCCAAAACCCAAACGCAACCTAGCAGCTGATAGGCTGCTTTGTTCAGGATCTCTCTCACTTTGATGACACGGATCAAAACCTTATGTTTGCTGCTGCACCGAATCAGTTCCTTGGAGTGTGGCTCCCGAGTATGCCCCTCTCTTGGTGAGGAGCACGACCATAGCCATTTGACCTCCCGCGGTTACCATTGTACTCATCACCTCCGCCTCTCGCATATCCACGGCCTCCACCGCTGAAACGGCCACGACCTCCCCTCCCTGCCAATGCCAGTGTGAAAACCCATTAAGGAAACATGTTCAATGGTTTGATATCCACATCTTGCTAGGAACACCACCTATTCATCAAAAGCAGATTAATACTGTAATCAACACCATCCTTCTGCAAGGAGCAGCAACAATCACACACGTACAAAGCGGTCGCTGCCAAACCATTCGTGTTTTTACTGTATATATGTGCAGAACCACAGATTGACAGCAAACTATTTCACCGTTAACGTACATTGTACAATCTGAGAGTTGAACAGCCTGTGGATCAAACAATAGTTGAACACCCCTAACTGGAACCACCTAGTTTGGCCTTCAAATATAACATTTTGGTGTATATTTTCAGAGTACAAATGTAGTGTTTTTCCTTTATATACTCACATCACATCTAAATTCATGGGAATGTATAGGTATGGAGTTTATAGCATCAAGTTTTCGATAGCACTCCAAACCTCTAAGAGAAAAGAGTTGCGGAAATACCAGCAAAATGTAAATATAGCACCAGTACCAACAGAAAACATGAACTTACTTCCACCTCTTATTCCGCTATTTGGCTTCCTCTCCTCAACATATATCTGCCGTCCATTTATTTCAATTGGTGAAGCCTAAAAATGGGACAAAAGAATTTAGTATAGTCTGTTGAAACTGATGAAAAGACACAAAAAATGATGAAGAAAGAAAACATATAGCTTTTCTCAAAGGAAAAAAAAAGAACACAGAAGAAACTGAAGGACACACAATAATTTAAAATGCATTGATGCTAACAGTCACCTTTAACGCATTGTGTACACCGCTGAGTTCCTCGAATTCCACGAAAGCATAATAGCCACCAGTCTCCTGCCAATTCAGCCACAAAACCCAATCAATTAATAGTTTAAAACTTGTGTTATTGGAAGTGGAGAACCAAAAGACAATTAACAGCAAACCTTTCGGCTTCTGATAGCAACACCGTCAGGAATAAGCCGGCCAAACTTTTTGAACTCACTTTCCAGATCAACCTCAGTTACATTTGCTGGCACGTTGCCAACATAAACAGATTTGCTCTCTAGTTATATGAACAGAAAAGCTTGGGTCAGTAAACAATGCATAATAAGAATCAAATCCCCATAGAATTTTGATATTTAACAGAGGATAGGACAACCTTCATCATCATGGGCAGCACCCTCACCATAGACATCAAACCTCGGTTTCTCAGCTCCCGTTGATGAAGCCATAACTGAATGCTGGGTCTGGTTTGACTCTGTTGTAGGGTGAGAAGGCTTACTCACAGGTACTTGCTGGGCTACCGGGAATGCGGGAGGAGCCTTTGCGGTTTTTAGCTGCATGAATCAGTCAAGTGTAGTTTTAAAGATGCATCAGGCAAGATGTTAAACAAATCAAATAATAAAGCAAGTAAGAAGTGACATACAATGGAAGCATAAGTCTTCTTTACTGGTTCACCAACAGGCTCCTCCACGTGAGGAGGTGGAACAGGTGGAGCTTGCACCGGCTCCTCAGGAGCGACTGTCATTTCATTTGAGAAAGAAGGCGGTTCTTCAGTAAGGGGCTCCTCTCCCCAGTTGTCAGATGACACTACTTGCTGTTGTGGCTCAGAATAAGTATAGTTGTCGACCACATCATGTCCTTCAGGTGCCATTTGTTGAGCTTCTTCCTCGTGAATGTACTCAGGAGCTGCAGGCAGTAACAATTGTCAGGAACATTGCCTATTAGTCTGTGTATGAGACAGTAAACATATTATGAAAATAAGTACTGCCGTAGAGCCTATCCATATGTGAATACTAATGGTGTCCACCAAAATAGCATGCCAAAGGCGCCTTTGGCAGTTCTAAAAAAGAGAGATAAGTTTCATATGAAGATGTAAGAAGCTACCTCATGACACCTAATGCAAAATAGGATAGTCCAAATAAAGCAAGAATTGGAATTAAATGCTTCACATATAAATCTCAAGTCAATCAACAGGGATTTAAAAAGACTAAAATAGGTGCAGCTTCTAAGTTCTTATTGAGGATGCTTCATCAGCCAAATATTTGAAGTTCCATACCAGTCTCAACAACTGTGTTGGGTGCCAAATTGCTCTCGTAGTCTTCCTGACCAATCACTGGCGCAGGCTGCACATGTTCTTGGTCAACGAAGTGAAAGTAATCGTTGAGGACAAAGTAACCCTTCTCTTGAGGGGCAAGGAAGAACATCTGGATAAATTTTCTTTGGTGGCTGTACTCCTTGGTCTGCACGAGACCAGAGACCATTACTAGCACCCCATCGCCCCACGAGTTCACAAAATTGGCAGTCTTGATCTCGATTTGGGTGAAGTTCAAGGACATGATGAGCGAGTGTATGTCCTGCACAGGTAGCGTGTATTTAAGGTTAGCTATAGATGAAAGTATGAAACACGCGCGGTATGCGTGAACCAGAAAGTAGTTACATCCAACTTTAGGAGCAGTGTAAGCAAAGTCAAGTAAGGAAGCGGACAAATCAAGTGGCATGCAACGCGCCAACTTTAGGAGCGTTATTGGCAAAATGAGCTAAGTGAAGCGGACAAACAAAATGGCATGTATATCCAACTTTAGCAGCATTATAAGCAAAATCAACTAAGTGAAGCGGACAAATGAAGTGGCATTTGCATCCAAGTTTAGCAGCATTATAAGCAAAATCAACTAAGTGAAACGGACAAACCAGTGGCGTGCACGATAATACACTACGACAACACGTGAAAATAGATGCTGACGCCAACAACTAAAAGGTCATTGGGGGGAAATCACTAGTAACTAGTAAGGTTTTAGGAGCTAAGTGATGGGCCATGAATAATGGTACATTACATACAACAACAGAACATGTGCAGATTGAGCAGACAATCATCCGAATCCAGAGTATAATGACAACTAAAGAGCAGACAATCATCCGAAGCCAGAGTATAATGACAACTAAAGAGGAAACGCAATCTAAGATAGACACTGTGGTCGAACAGAAAGACAAGGTTGCGACAAACCATCATGTTGTTGGCGGCCGCGGTCGTGCCGGTGAGGTCGTCGACGCGGACCATGGTGCTTGCTTCACTGTAGAACTGGTGGACTACATCCGGGGTCTGCTGCAGCAGGTTGTAGTAGTTCCGCAGGAAGTAAGTCCCCACCTGCCAAGCCACGGATTAATCATCTCATCGCACGCGAAAACCACCGGAACCCAGCCCCAGCCCCGAGCTCGCGTCGGGCAGATTAATCCGCGAGCTGACGACGATGTGAGCCGCCGCGGAGGGGTGGCGGGCGGTATTCAGGGGATAGGGTTTTGCGTCGCGTGAGGATAGGAGGGGGATCCTGCCCCTACTATACAGCTATAACCCATGGGTAATGGATAGGAGAAGAGAGTACCTGAGTCGCCGCCGCCGAAGCCATGGGTGAGAGAGAGGGGACACCAACCGAGCAGAGGAGAGTAGAGCACGAGACAACCCTAGATCTGAAGAAAGAAGAACTGCGAGCGATCGTTTTCTAATACTGCTTCTGACCCCTGGGATGCCACCGCGTTACGCAGCAGCCACAGCCGACGGATCAAGAATAGAGGGACACGATCGGTGCGGGGAACGTATCCGCGATACTTTGCACAGGGACCCCTTAAGAAAACCCTCTATCTCATCTGAGTACATTTTGTTTTGCGTTTACACCCATAAACAGTTTCTCGCTCTCGTTTCAGATCCACTCACACAGTCACACTACTGAATCACGCAATCTGAAGTTCTGCTTGTTTAGATGCAAAATTTTCACTCCTGTTGTTATTTGGCAAATTGCCCGACGACGTGTAATTAGTTTTATTTTTTATTTATATTTAACTGCAAAGGCTGATGCAGGCAAATTTTTTCGAGACCACAGTCACACTACTGAATCACGCAATCTGAAGTTCTGAACTCTGAACTCACTCCTGTTGCCCGACGACGGAGGCGACTGCGGTTGGCAGGCCTTCGAGGAGAGGCGACACACGGCCACGGGAGCTCCTGCACGGCTCCACGCTTCCACGGCCAAAAGCAAGTGATATTTGCCTTGGTCGCGGCTCCACAGGCGATTGGGGTAAAGGTTTCGCGGGACTGACGGCGGGTTCCGTGTGGGAATCTTTTCTTGATTCTGTTCGATCGGCTCGTAAACGATAGTAAATTTTCAGTTAGGAATAATGTTTTTCTTTCATATTAAATCAGCCAGCAGTAAATAATCCACGATACGATACGGTCTCTCGAACAGGCTGTTGGTCAGCAGCACTGTGCACGAAACAATAATAGTTTGCTCATTCCCGTCTTATTGCTGGGACCAAGACTGACATACTTAAACTATTAGTAAGTTTGGGACAAGATTTCAGACTAATGATTTCGAGATCTGGTTAGCACCCTGAAAAAGTACAAGGACAGCTAGTAATTCACTCTATTCTGATTGTATTTGCTGACCAGGAGTATATGCCTCAGGTAGCATCTGAAATTCTGAATCCTAGTAATGACCGGTTGGGATAGACATTCTAACAGATCGCATGACCATCCTGTGTCAGCAGATCCTAATGAACATTCAACAGAGATGTGTGTCACTCCTAACTTTCATTTACGTGAGCAGTGTTTCATCACTTAACAATATTTTTTCTTACACAAAATCAAGAAGATTTCTTTCACAAGCAAACGATCAAGCCAACAGTTCCGAACAGGTTGACGAACATTCAACAGAGATGTGTGTGACACTCCTAACTTTCATGCAGTCGAAATGTGACACTGACACTCCAAACTTGCATGTCATTGAACGCAGATGCATACTAAACCGGCCCGGTCAATGACCGTACTGTATATATGAAAATTCCTAGTACTGTTAATACGCTACATACGATCGAAAATTTTCATATATAGAGCGTATCGCGACTATAACTTGCATTTAACAACGTGCAAGTACACGGTGTATCATGTTATGTATTTTGAACTCCGGCGGTACAAGCAGAGTGTAAAATGTAAATTCTGTTGCAGTCTGTGTTTTTCTTTTCTTGATTGAGTGGATTCTGTTGCAGACTGGTGAAATTGCAAATACATCTGCTGGCCGCTCACGGCTGGCCGCCTCGTGGTGACCACGTCGCCGGCTTTTTACTGACCATTCGATCGGCATGCTGACGGCCCAGATCGGCGAAAGCCGGTCGTTTTATTTAAAACCCTTTAAGTTTTTTGGAAATCAACCCGCGCTCAGAATCCTCTGCAATTTTTTTACAAAAAACGCCTCAGATTATTTCCAAATCAACGCCCGATCGCACCGGATGGGTACCGTTTGTTTGCAAAAAGACCTCCACTTTATCGAAAATCAACTCGCGCCCCCAGACACTCTCACCGCTTTTTTGCAAAAACATCCTCACCAAGCCCATACGAATACCCTGCAGGCCCAGTTTCCACCAAGCCCTCGGCCATCCCACACGTCAACCAAGTGAAGATCTCCTAAACATCACACAGCCCAATAGCCCACTTGGCCCAATTATTGTAGTCCACCACAAATAAATCACGACATATAGATGCAAGCTATTTTTTAGTTTTTTATTTTCTTATTCTAATCTCCATAACTAATCATGTTTATTATATATTTATATATGATTTTGTATATTTATAGTAGATATTTTTGGTTCAGTATTAATGCAAATGCTGAGACAAATACATCAAAATGCTGGAATAACACATTTTAAAGGAACAAAAAATAAGGGCCTGAAATGCACATATGTCGATCTCAGTAAAACATAAGCAACTAAACGAACTGATTCACGCGGATTTAAAATGGACTCAATTCGAGTGAAATGCATATGCATTAGACGTTTCACATTAACTGTACACCCGTACCCCCTCTAATCAAATTGTGCACCATGTCATTTCATCATTAAATCTTCTACAACTAAAAAGACTAAAAGTAAGACTATTTTTTTGTGCGACTTTTTTTTGGGTCGCTCCTCCCTTCCGGCCATGCGATACCCGCGCAATAGAAAAAGAAACTGCCATCCCTGCGATCCCCACCTGCTTTGAAGGAAACAAATCGATCACCTGATGCCACATGCATGGAAAGAAACAATAATCATGCATGTAAGGAAACAATTGGCAAAGATCAAGCAAGACTCCTCATTTCCGGCCATGCGATACCCCGCGCGATAGAAAAAGAAACTGCCATCCCTGCGATCATCGCCTGCTTTGAAGAAAACAAATCGATCACCTGAGGCCATATGCATGGAAGGAAACAATTGGCAAACATCAAGCAAGACGACTCAACGAGGTTGACTCTTAATTTTAGTATTTCCAGCATGCAGACTTGAAATTAAAAAGTGACAGCTTCTTGAGAACATCAGTGGTGCCAAATAAAAGATGTGCAGGTTATACATGGTGAGACTGGTGAACCTTCTGCAATTTTCTAAATGAATATTCCCACCATTCATATATAGGTATATTCCCCTGCGTTTCTTCGTGCTCCAGTTAGCATATAATATGAAAGTATTGTTGTGTTCATCACGACTTCCAGTTGACTACTCTCATTAGCATATACTTTCTCTGCCCCAAAATATAAGTCGTTATGGGATGTGTGCAGGTCAAACTTTCTCAACTTTGACTATGTTTGTAAAAAATACGTGCAACATTTAACAATCAATTGGTCGACTCCTGAGGCCACATGCATGTAAAAAATACATGTATTATAAATGGTCAAAGTTAAAAAAAAGTTGACTTCTCAGGAAGCGAGAATGAATTCTATTTTGGGACAGAGGGAGTATATGAAAAACAGTGTTGAAAATATTTTAACAATCAAGTTCATCTCTGTCTGATTGGTAAGTTTAGACATCATAATAACATCAAAAATTTTGACTCTCATGGACACCCTCATGGATCAGTGCAAAGCATCCCAATCCTACAGCATATACAAATAGCAACCTTAAAGACCATCTTAGATGTTCTGGCATTATAGTATATACGTGCAGACACATATGGCATGGTGGTGCAAATGAGCAACCAGCAGGAGTCGAGAGTTAGGGGTGTTTGGATTCAGGACTAAACTTTAGTCCCTGTCACATTAAATTTTTAGATATCAATTAGGAGGACTAAACATGAGCTAATTATAAAACTAATTACATAAGTTGTGTCTAATTTGCTTGCCAGCGTCGTGTACAGGATAGTATGGAGATGTGGTGGAAGTTATTCATGGATTTGTTGGCGCACGAAAGAAATGGATATCGGAAATCTCTTCCTGCCGGTATAAAAAATAATCTTAGCCGCATCACGGAAAGATCTACACAGTAGAGTTTATGAGCCTGCGACGCCATGCTCTATGTGACTGTGTAAATTTCACGAACTTAGCCTTTTGGATTAAATATCACTTTAACGTCGGTCATATACTTTTATAGTATTGTTATCTTATCATGCGATCCGTGTGTTTTTAGTATAAAAGTTTAGCTGTCCCGTAGCAACGCACGGGCACAAACCTATTTACATATATACTCGAACCTGTGTGTAATGATTATATGGAGATGTAGTGGAACTTATTCATGGATTTATTGGCGTATGAAAGAAATGGATAAGAAATGGATATCGAGAATTCGGATTTTTTCTGCCGATATAAAATATATACAACTTTTAGTACATTATTTCTCTCTCACACAACTAGCCGCTATAGTGTTTTCACTTCTTTTTTTAGACAAGCGAACGTGCCATAAAATATTATCTTAGCCGTATCACGAAAAAATCTATACAGTAGAGTTTGTGAGCCTGCAACGTCGCGCTCTCCGTAACTTTGTTAATTTCACGAACTTTGCTTTTTGAATTAAATGTCACTTTGACATCGGTATTTAATTTAACAGTATTGCTATCTTATTGTGATCCGTGTGTTTTTAGTATAAAAGATTTAGTTGTTCCGTAGCAACGCACGGGCACGCTACGTACCTAGTACGGAAGATATATAGGATTTTTCTTTTCTTTTTTTATGAGAAGCACGGGAGATATATACTCCGCGAACTGAGCAGCCTGCTCGGATGCAGCCCGGCCCAGACATTCATTATTCACGGATTCCGTTGGCCTCATACGGCCTGGTAGTGGCTGCTAACAGGCCGTAAGTCATCACCAGGCCGCAGAATCCATCAGAGCGATCTGTAAAGCACGGGCCCGGCGTAGGTCACCACGCGCACGACGGACTGACCGAGGACGTACATTGATCTAAAACGCAAAATCTGTATCAGATCAATTTATTGTGTATTTCATTCATTCGTGCAGCTTTCTTCCCATAGCTATACTAAACATTGTTGAACTTTTTTTTTTTGAAACGGTCCGCAGGAACTGTGCCAAACTTGTATTGATATAGAAGGACAAACATGGTTGTACTATTATGACCTGTCAAATCGTGCATGCGCCTTAGGTGCAAAAGAACTT